ATATTCCTCCTCTTTTTTCTTCTCCCCTTTTTCTGTTTGCCTCTTATTTTTTTTGTATATATATATATATATATATATATATATATATATATATATATATATATATATATATTATATTCCATGTTGCATAGTATCTGTTCACATTTCCGGCCTTTGCTTCCATCTCTTGATTATTGGCCGTCAGCTTCTGGGATCAGGTGTCTTGTTTGTAGCCAAACTTTCAGCTTTACTGGGGCATCAATTTCAAGTGTTCTTGAATCTTTATAGAAATGTAAACTTACCAATGGTCTCCATCTGTATTGAATATTGTTAGCTCTTAATACCCCTATATGATTTGCATAAGATCTTCTTTTAGCTCTTGTGTATATCGATAGATCTGAGTAAAATATTATTTTATAAGGAGCATGAATTTTTCCTTCTCTGATTGCATTTGTTATGGCTGATTTGATTCGCAAGGACGAAAAAATAGAGAAAATTGAGCCTCATTGGAGAGAAGGAGATCTCTCAAACAAAATCGAGAACCCAAGAGGTAAAATGGATATTTGAGATGCACACCTTATCACCCTTGGGTCTCAATATTTATTTTTAAATTAATAGTATTTTATGAAGGTTTTAAAATAAGTTTTTTAGAGTACAAAAGTTGCCCTTTATCATTGTTAATTATGATTTTTTTATGTATTTTTATATATTATGTATTTCAGTTTTATATATATTCTTTATACAATAAAAATCTATTTTATATTATTTTAGAGATGCTTATATGGTCATTTAAGAAGCCTCCTTGAAAATCCTATGTTATAACTCACTTTGATTTCAATCCACCCCTTTCCACTTCCCTCTTTTCTATGCCTTCCCGTTTTAATATATATACACTGATCTTATAGTACGTCTAAAAAAAATGTAATTTGCTTTATGTAAAAACTCTAGTGGCGGACGAGAACGGACGTGTGAGTGCTAAGCTCCTCCAACACACAGTGTTTTCAGCTAAGTTCCAGCATACATCCGATTGCAATCTGAACACAGACCGCAACTGTCACTTGTACTGCCCCACGGAAGCAAATGACTATAAAATCCTGCAAAAAAATGAAGCAAAAAGAGCTTCAAATGCACCTTACCTCTGCTACCACACAGGAACTGACAGGACAAGATGGCGCCGACGGCCCGGGATCGCCAGCCTCAGTCCCAGAAGTGACACTGCTCACAGCATGGCTGACTTAACGAACCCAGTCACAACAGCCACCCTCAAAATGTTACTTGCGGACCTGAAATCCACCTTTCATACAGATCTGCTGCAAGTGGCTTCAGACATACGGTCAGATATCCAGCATGTAGGAGAAAGAACAGCCAAATAAGAAGAAAGGGCAGATGAAATAGTAGATGCCCATAACACTCTAGCAGAGGCCTATTCAGAGCTAGAAAGTAAGTTCAAGAGGTTGGAAGACAAAATAGCCGACCATGAAGACAGGGATAGGTGTAATAATATTAGACTAAGGGGGATACCAGAATCTGTTACACCTCAGGGGCTACAATCCTATGTGCAGGAAATATTTAAAGCTTACGTGCCAGAATTGTCAGAAATTGAGCTCCTCCTGGACAGGGGACAGGACCCATAGGCTGCCCAAACCAAAACACCTGGGCCCACAGACCCCTAGAGATGTCATTACCAAGCTACACTATTTCACCGGCAAAGACAAAATCATGCAAGCGGAAAGAAAAAATCCCCCCCTATCTGGGCATTTTGAGCACATACAGATATTTATAGATCTATCTGCATCCACTATGATGAAGAGAAAAGCCTTTGCCCCCATCACAGCAGCACTACGAGAGGCAAATATCCCGGACAAGTGGGGTTTCCCAACCAGACATAAAGTGGGGTTTCCCAACCAGACATAAAGTTGGTTGTGGTGTGCCGAAAACCAACGTCCGAGTGGGCCTGTAAATAAAAGAGGACAAAGAGATGTTCAAGAAAAAACACACTTTATTGCATTTAGTACATAACAGAATTCCTGAAGGCTTGGCGAAGCTCTCTTACAGGTCATGGTATGTACTTATAGTATATGGAGGATTTCCATCGACCCAGTCTCTTGATGATGTGAACCAGGGTGTTTGTAAAAAAAGGCTGATGAAGCGGCTCCTATGCAGAAGGAGTGACCAGAGAACGAAGCTGGGTTGTAACCCAGTTTTGCCAGTAAGGTTCTGACATGCGTCATGAATTTAGCAGTGGTGAGTGGGTGCCCTTGTAGTAATAAGAGCGTAGAGTCTGGTAAGTGCGTGTGATGAGTTGACCGTAGGTGGTCTAGTGCCTTAACAGGACACCAAGCATTATCAGTGGGAAAGAGGGGAATAATACTGGGGTGTAGTGGGGTGTAGTGATGTCCCGAATGGTTCGCTGGTGAATAGTTCCTGGCGAACATAGCGTAAAGGGGAGTGAATTAAAGTATTATATAAAGAAGTGGCAGGGTTCTTTAGGTGCATTAATACAGGTTTTTAGGAAGATTGGTTATTCTTATTAAGATGACATAACATATGATCTAAAATACATTAATAAATATGCATGAAGTTGATATTAAAAGTTACAGTACACTAATACATGGTATTGTAAAAGGCTGCATGGTTAGATAAATTGGTCAGGATAATACATCAATATTAAATGAGAAGTGATAAAAACGAATAAAATAATATGACATTACGAAAAAGTTAGAAAAAGTTATAAAGGTCGAAGTCCACATTTAACCCTTCTGGGTTAACGGTTTTTAGAAGGAAAACCCAGTACATTTCATTCTGACCTAAAATCTTTTTTATATTGCCACCTCTCCATGGGTGTTTACACTTTTGTATACCTATACATCTAAAAAATTGGGGGTTTTATCATGTATTAAAAAATGCTTTGACACGGAGTGGTTTGGGTAGCCTTTTTGTATGTTACAGCAGTGCTCTGCTAGTCTAGTTTTTAGGCAGTGAGAGGTCATACCCACATGGACATTCAAGTAAATAAATAAAAAAAATTTGTGTTGCAAGTAACAATGTCTTTTATAGGATAGGATTTTTTTGTGTTGTGGGATGTAAAATGGGTGGTTTTTGTCTTTATATTATGATCTGTGGATTTACATAATATACAGGTATTAAATTTAAAAAAGCCTTTAGAATTAGATAAAAAGGTTGAATTTTTGTTTGTGTTGATTTTGTTGTAGTTTTTGGTGAGCATAGTTTTAAAATTGGGAGCGCCTCTAAAAACTATACTCGGCTTGTCAGGAATGAGTTCTTTTAAAATTTTGTCTTCTTTTAAAATGTGCCAATGCTTCTTAATGATTTTTTTTGATTCTTGTACTTCTATTATTAAAGTTAAAAATGACAGGCATGAAAGGAGATTCTTTAATAATGTTTGATTTATATTCTAAAAGTTCCTTTCTGTCTTCTTTGGTGACTATTTCTAGAGTTTTGTTTAGGTTGGTCTGTGGGTAATTTTTATCAATGCATTTTTCTTTCAATGATTGGGCCTGTTCTATAAAATCCTTGGTGTCTGAACAATTTCTGTGGAGGTGAAGGAATTGGCTTTTGGGTATGCTATCCAACCAAGGCTTAAAGTGGCAGCTCGATTGTTCAATTACTGTATTTGTGCACACTTTTTTAAAGAAAGTTTTGGTGTGAATGTTGCCTTCTTTGATAAAAATTTCTAAATCTAAAAAATGTATGCTGTTTTTACTGTGTTCAGAGGTTAGATTATGCCATGTGTGTTGTTAAGATGATTTAAAAATTGTGTTAGGGAATTCTCTGTACCCTTCCAAATAAAACATAGATCATCTATGTATCTAAAATATGTAATCCGATTTGCACACTGGGTATGCTCACCCCAAATGGCCTGGGATTCCCAATGTGCCATGAAGAGGTTTGCATAGCTGGGGGAAAATCTGGTCCCCATCGCATTTCCCTGTTTTTGAATGTAAAATGAGTCTAAAAACTAAACATAATTGTTGTTTAAAATTAATTTAATGCCTTGTATAATAAAGTTGATTTTATTTTCAGGGATGGATTTAGCTTCCTATGAAATTGAAAAAACTGCTTCACAGCCTTTCTGGTGGGGGATAATTGTGTATAATGATTATACATCGCAGGTAACTAAAATGTAATCAGAGTCCCAGATCAAATTGTTTAAAAAGCGCAGAAGCGTCATGGAGTCTCTTAGGGAGGATTTCATTATTTTTACTGATGGCTGTAATAAGATGTTGATATATTCAGATAAGTTGGATAGTATAGAACCTATCCCGGACACGATGGGCCTGCCTGGGGGGGTTTTTATGAATTTTCGGTAGGAAATATATAACGTTTTTTTTTGGAAAGGATACGTTTAAGTAATCATGTTCTTTTTTGTTTAGCATGTTTTGTTCTAGACCTTCTTGTAGGAATGTTCTGAGTTTGTTATTGATAAGGATGGTCGGGTCGGAAGGTAGTTTGTTATATACATTAGGGTTGTTTAATTGTTTGAGGGCCTCATCTATATACATGTTTGTTGGGAGGATGACTAGATGCCCCCCTTTGTCAGCTGGTTTTATGATGATTGTGTCATCTTTTTTCAGTTATTTTAGTGCTGATTGTTCTTGATAGGATAGGTTATGATGTTGGTACTTGTGTTTATTTTATTTAAGTCTTTTAGTACTAATTTTTTGAATACTTCTTTGGGGCCGGATTTGAAACTGGAAGGATAAAAATTTGAATTTTTCTTTAAGTTAGTTGTTATAATTGAAGGGTGAGTAGAGTTGGTGACAGTCGTCTGTGGGAGTGTCTGTGTTGGTTAGTGTAGCATTTAGTTCTGCAGATTTGGTTGTAAAAAATCTTTTTAAGGTTGCCTTTCTTACAAATTTATTGATGTCCAGAAAGGCCTGGAATTGGTTAAAAGGATTGGTCGGTGCATATTTTAGACCCTTACTTAAAACTGAGATTTGTGTAGAAGTTAAAAAATTTTGCGGTAGGTTAAAAATACTGTGATCTCTTTCTGTCAGAATCTATGGATAGTAGTTGATATCTGTTTTGGTGAGTGAAGATGACGGGTGATTTCTTATGTTGGGTTTGTTCATAGTCTTTATGGGAGTATCTATTTCTTTGTGGTCTTGGGGTGGTGTCATATGTATTTCTTCCTTGTGTGGATGATTCGTAGGTTGTAGTGTTAGTCCTTCTATGAGTGGGGTGGTTATGGTAATTTTGTGGTGAAGTATTCTGTTTTTAGAAGTGGTGTGGTGATCTATAGTTTCTTCGTGGGGATTGGTAGTATCTTTTTTCTGTCTTGTTTTGCTGGGGGTGTGATTGACCTGGGTGATATGGTCTTGTGTATCTCTGTTGATTAGATCTGATTTGGGAGTGTTGGTGAGCATAGGAAAGTTTTTTCTCAAAGTGGTTAGGATATTGCTGTGTATTTAATCTGCCCTGGTTGTGATAGTTAGGATTGTGATTATTGTAGCGAGATGTTTCTGAGATATATTTTTTGTTAATGTGATATGTTCTAACTTGATCGGTGGAGAAGTCCTGCTTATCTCGGATATATTTTTTAATTTGTGTCCATTTCGACCTTTTCTTTTTTGTTTTGTATTAAGATTGAGTTTTGTTTATATACTTGAGTTTCAGTAAAGGGGAGGAGCTTGTCTTTAAGGTAATTAATTTCTGTATCTAGGAGTGAGAGCTTTTTGCTTTTTTTCAGAATTAAAGTTTCCATAAGGCCTTTTGAAGACATGATATGACTTTGTTGTTCCAATCTCTCATAAACTCCTCATCTTCTTGGTCAGACGTTGGGAGTTTATAAAATCTTAGACTTCTTGGCGTAATTTGTTCGTATTTTTTTAGTGTTGCAATTTTCACTTTAATTAATTTCTGTAGTTAGTGTTTTTTCTAATTTTGTGAAGAGCTCTTTTATAGCTTCTTTATATAATACTTTAATTCACTCCCCTTTACCTATTTGTTGTTGTTTATAAGTATATGTCATACGTTTATATAGTGACACCCAGTCCATGTTCCCCACTCCACCTCTCCCCCCTTCCCTTCTCCCATCCTTTATATTAGTCCCTGGTCTAGTCTGTCCCTTAAGCTATACATTACAGCCATTCATCAGATCAGAGTGTGTTTGAGCATAAGCCACGCCCACATTCCTAGTTACCCTCCCTCGCTCTCCGCCATATCAGCAGTACACTCCCCAGCCGATAGCATCATAACCCCACCCCCAGCCAAACTACCCGCCCATCTCATCTGCCTCCACACACCCCTTCCAATAAGCCTGGCAGTTCATATTGGTTTTTCCCAAACACTACATGTCCCAATACCTGCTCAATCCCATGTGAGTATACATTTTATTTATACTCAGTATATACTATTTTATACAGCGAGCACTATTAGTTATCTCTTCTCTTTCATGACCTATATAACGAAACAAGACTCAACCCTCTAGACGTATCCTGTAAGCGGGGATTATACCGCTGTACGCCATTCACACTAGAGCCGGTTTGAGCTCTACCCCACACCAATACTTCCCTACGTATTCTACAAGCGAGGATTGTACCCATTTATAAACAAGCATTTACAATGCTTTCCTATGGACGCTTGCGTGTTCTCACTGTGATTTTCACAGTGAGAATCACGCAAGCGCCTCTAGCGGCTGTCAGTGAGATAGCTGCTAGAGGCTTTGGAGGAAGGATTAACCCATTTATAAACATAGCAGTTTCTATGTATGGCATATTTTTTTTTTTTTTTTCTTCTAATTAAGTATTTTTTTATTTCATTATTATTTTAAGAGTTGAGGGTCTGACGGAAAACACAGGCAGTTCCCCTGCAGGCAGTGATTTAAACTGCTGATCCGGATTTGAGCTGATTATGCCGGAGCGGGACCAACTGTGCTGCCGATCGGGATCCTTGTACAAGGTCATTCACCATCCAGGCTTCCTGCAGGACATGGTTGTTAGTGCATACTATGCCATCCTGTTGTGGTTCGTGGTAATGGATGTGCTTCAAAGAGCATCAAGATGGCCACCAGTCATGTGTCCTAGTGTAAACTTGTTACACTAACAGTAGAGTTAATGGAAGCCCACATACATTTGCAAGCATACAAAACCAACCATTTTATTTTGTACAGCTATAAATTTAGATTATTAGCTGCATTAAGTATTTCGGCAGAGTTAAATCCTAACATGTAAAAATCAAATGACAATCACTTAGAGTGCAGCAAAGGATAACTTTAATAAAAAGATGTTAAAGAACATGTAACAAATATTAATAAACATGTTCTAGCTAAACACTTACAATACTAACTAGATATTTATCCTTTGCAGCACTGACCGTATATTTCCCACGATTTCAGTTAAAACATATCATAGGATATCCAAGTAATTTAATCTAGACACACGTATGAAAGCTATAATGAAATTAAACAGTTTTATACTTAACGGCCCAGGATCTTAGATGAAATGGATATCAAGGTTTTTGCTGCTGTGGTTATATGAAATATATGAAACTTTATAATATTGATCTAAAGCACATACTTGCAGCCTTATAAAAATATTAGTACGGCTGCCTGTGCCCCTGCTACATCGCTGCTATCCCAGAAGCACTCCAAAAACCAACCGTACAACATCCACAAAACAGTTTTACAATAACCATAGTAACATGTCCTTCCTTGCGGCCTATTCCCTACCTACCAACCTAGACTGGCATTTATGCAGGGAATATCTGTTAATTGGTGAACTTATAACTTTGATAGTTATGGGCGTAAAAAACACAAATATTGTGTTAAAATGGTTGTCATATTTCATGCCCATAACACTCCCCCTCTTGCTTTTACACCATGACTATACTGAATTTATCATTACAAAGGATTTCTCCAAAATCCATATTTGCTATTTTGCCAAACATACATGTTATGAAACATATAAAGAAATACATAACAATGCTGTAATATTCCATGTACAATAGTATTTTCCCAAGCTTCCCATCTATACCAAAAGTCTGGTGTTTCATAAAACTTGTTTATTGGTTCTGTCAGGCTGGATATATGGACACCATCTTTCTTCTTCACTGGTGGGGACTTTGTGTTCGAAGGGAGTGTGTTGGACTCTATGGAATCAGCAGGGCTATACAGTAATTATCTACTAGAAGGAGAATAGACAGGTTAAGAATCATCATTTAATTACACGGTTTTAATATTACCATGACTAACTGGAATAACCTCTTATTTCTATTTCATTAGACCTTTGGACCCTACTTAATTAGTGGGGCTCCCTGAATGACACATCTGCTTGAACTGTATCAGCAGTTTGCCTACTTGTTTTAGTTCTAAACAACGATATGCTCCACATTCATTCATCCACACATACTGCACAGGTCTACTCCAACCCGCTTTGGTACACTAATCAGTGAGTATTTAAGGTTACCCCTGTCTCTTCAGGACTACTGCCTCCTTTGGTGAATACTGTAAAGTTAGTTTTAATTATACATATATTATTCTCCACTAGTTTGGAAAGGCTACCTGTAATTATCAACCTTAAACTAACAAAAGGATTGTCATTATTTACATGTAGGCTTGCCAAATAGAGATGTTCTGGTGGTCAGTTATCTAAGATCAAGAATCTGTGTAAAAGTTCTATCCCACCTGCACTATGACACTTCTGGATAGTGTTTTAATCTGTCTGTTAAAAGCCCATTGCACCTTTTAATCATCCCAGAGGCTTGGGGATGATATGGGATAGTCCTGTTTTCATGCTTTGACTGACACATTGAGTACCGGTGTCATTTTTTATTTTTTTTATTTCAGTTGGCATGCTGTATACAGTAATATTTATTTCACTGCAGGCAGGGCTTGCTTGGCAGTAGTCACAAATTTCAAGTCCTTTCGCTTTAGCTCATTCCAGGGTGGCTTTACTTCCGTGATGTCCTCCAGTTGCTTGTTCCCAGGTAACTGAAACAACAGGTTTGACTGTCTTAAATGACAGATGATATTGGGGACTACTGCAAACAATAGAGGAGCAGCTTTATTGAGTACCCTAAAATTAATCGTCATTCACCAGAAGGCACGTGGCCTCTTCACATGATACACAGGAATGCTAAAAGGGCTAAACGCAGGATGAACTACACTTGACTATAATCTGATTTATTTCAAACCTCCCAGCAGCCCTTGTTGGACTACAGGGAGGGGGAATGACCACATGTGTCCAGTTTGTATTTCCTCTCACCACCACCCCTGACACATGAACATACAAAACATTTGAACACCCTCCCACAGCATCTCTAATCTGTGCCCTAACAATATAGCTACCCCCAAGATATTGAAAGGAAAATGTGAACCCAAGATATTACCTATAAACCTGGGGGCCCTTTGTTTGTGGAAGATGTGACTGATGTGTGTTACTCTTAATGGGGCCTACAAGTAACCCTGCAGGACTGTTACCTCAACCCCAGTGTCAACTAAGGCTAAAACTTTTATAGAGTTGGTTTCTTTTTCCCAACCTTACAATCAACGGAAACATTGAGCTGTTGATCCCCAGCCATGATGAGTAACAAACTTTGTGCCGGGGATCGTCTGTCCCATCATCTGTACTTTACATTTTTGTCTGCTAAAGACCTTGATTCCACTGTCATGTGCAAAGATTTGTTTTTCCTAGGATAAGGAATTGAAAGACAGGAGTTAACAACAGTAATATTAATGTAAATCTCATTAGCTTCATTAGTGTGAACTTTAGAAATAGGTACTTCATTGATAACCTGTACCTTTCTCTTTAAAGCTTTAAACCGTTTGAAGACATGATATGATTTTTTTCTTAGCTCATCTACATTGACACCAGTTTTATCAAGATCTGCCATCATTGCTTTGCTTGGCATCTTTGTACATGAAGAAACATCCTGTTTATTATTCCACTTAGGTGTATCAGTAGGTGGTTTTACAACCTTACTTTCTGGCTTCTAAGCTATGGAGACACCCCTTTTCTGCTGAACATTTGCCTCTGTTTTGTATTCCCCAAATTCTGCAAGTCTTTGTGTAATCACAAAAATCTGACTATTTTCTGCTGTGCTATTAAGCATTGACAATAAGGACCCTCTTATAGCACTGGGGGCTGTCCTTAAAAGCCCAGACCTCGTACTTGTAGTAAATTCCTCTGCATCCGGCCCCTCCCAGTTATCTTTGTCTAACCCTGCTACACAACCCATACTACAGACTCTGATTATAGCTTCTTTTATGGTGTGCCATTGTGTATGTGGTTCAATGTCTGTGTTATATAGGAAAACCTTTAGTAATGCGTGTTTAATAATAGTCATTAAACTGAAATTACTTTTAATGTTTTCCACTAACCTTAACAACAGAGTAATCTGTGGATTACTTGTGATCTGACCACTGGTG